AGCGAGGGTGGAAAGGTACACGAGACGAGAAACTCTTTCTGAAATATGTGCCATACCATATTTTTTGATACGACGTGTGGAAAATGCGATTTTCAATGCATGTTTTTTACCGACCCTTCGGGAAAAACGCACTTTCCGCACGGAGTCTCGAAATAGATTTTTTTTTACTCATTTATCGAAATAAAATTCATACTTGATGTGTATAGATTGAACATGAAATTTTATTTTATTATTTATAAATTCCTGCATCAACGCATATTTTACACGTTCCACATTGTAACGGGGAACTGTCCCGTTGACATACAAATTAATCGATGATGATAAGCGGATGATAATAATACAGGAATCCGAGCTTAGTTAGGGAGGAACAGCTCGGTTCGTCAGGTGTTGTCGGGGCGTCGTGGCTTCAATGCCAGGTCGTGGCGCTAGACTCGCATGTCTAAACGCGAAATTAAAAGGTCAAGGAGATAGGCGGAAGGACGGAATAATGCAGACGCGCGTCAAGAAAATAAGCGTGTTATTTATTAGTATAACGGATAAATGATAACAAAAATAATTTAAGAGCGGCGAAGCAAAAGGAGAGAGAGAGAGAAAGCAAGAAGCTGAATTGGGAGAGAGAGAGTAAGGTACGTAGTAGTACTTACAAGTTGCTGCTCCGTGAAGGTCGGCTCGCAGTAGGCGCTCGATTGTCAAATTACAATTAATAGACTGAAGGCCCGAATAGACTGGCGCCGGTGGCAGGAGACCATCACTCTACACACTTTCACACTCGCACGTTTATTCAGTTCGATAACTCTCTAACACTGCACACTCTTAACCATGCTGACCCAGAATACTGTCTCTAGGCACGAATAACGTGTTTATGGCTAAATACGTGCTCTCACGTTGACGAACAGTCGCCGAATCTGCTGCGCCAAGAAAATCAAGCGCCCTCCTCGCGGTTCGCACGTTCGATAGTCGAACTGTCTCTCTCTCTCTCTCTCTCTCTCTTACCTACCTTGCTTCAGCCCACTGAAATTAAAATGACATGTAATATACATGTGGCTTATATAAATAAATTAGAATATGGGAGAGAAAGACATAACGAGTATCATTCACACTCGTTATAACATACAGAAATCCATATACATTATCCACGCAAAAATATTGTGTAAATTTTATACGTAAAAATTTCATACCTATTTTCTATCAGAAAAATTCATATGGATTTTTTATTTCCATATAGATATCCAGGTGAAAATTCCATACAGAAAAATCCACATGGAATCGCTTGCATATAAATTTCCCATTGATTTTCCATATGGAAAATCCATGTGGAAAATCCATTCCATATGGAATCGATGAATCCACATAAATTTTTCATATGAAAAATCCGGATGGAAAATTCAGGTCATTATCCATGTGGATTTTTTCAATAGGGTGTGACGGGCAAATCGATCGTTGAGTTCGATCGCCCTGTTCGCCTCTCTCTCTCTTCCGCGTGCCTTCCCCTGAGCCGCTACCACATCGATCTCGGTTGATGAAAACCGAGTATCGACGCACGATGTGGCTTTGTTGCAGGTTTGATTCCTGATCGGCGGAGATGCCTGGCATTGGTGGGATGGAGCGAGAGCGCGGAACGGAGGAGAGAGAGAAGTAGTGTCGCCGGCATGAGTCGCACGTGTGTGCGTAGCCGGCGGCGCTCGGACGTTTTGGGTACCTATAGGGAGGGGCGCGTAAGACGTCGCGGAAAGCGCGAGATCGCGGGAGTAGTAGGGCTTTGACCAGCAACGAATTCCGAGCTAGTTGAGCCTCGCGACTGAAAAGTGTGTGAATAGTTGATTGCCATCGAGTGAACAGCATCGAAGAAGAAGACACGCTGCATCCACCTAGAGATCCACCGTTTGAGGATTACATAGTGGGCCCAGCAGACGTGGACTTCCATAGCAGCGCTCCCTCCTAAGATCAGGTACCCTTTTTCGTTTCTCGGTTCGCGCCTCGATTTCTCTCTCTCCGAGCATCGTATCGTCCGGACGCGGACGAGTGGCTGCATGCGTAAATTCGCATTGCACTCACGGGAATTCGCTGAATAGTTGTAAGGTGATGTTCTGTTTTTTTTTGTGCGTTAATTCGCACGGAACGGACTAGCCCAGACTTGGCCGACGCACACGTCAACGGCGTATGTAAATTGCTGTTTTTAATAAAGTGTAAATATATCCGAAATGATGAGTTTATTTGTGCAACCTGTCTCTCTCGTAACTAGGTAAATCGTGATCATCGACACTACCGGATGACATAAACCCTCGTTAATTTTCCGCGACGAAGTGAATGTGCCTTCCGAGCCTTCCCCCTTAAAATAATTTGTGACGCGACGTTGTTCGGGCTTATTTCCCATACGGACTTCAAAATTATTAACGAACGTGTTACAAGGGTATGAAGTCGACCATATTTGATACGCAGCAAAATTCAAGCGATAGTAGTACTCGGTTCCGGCTACCTTAGAAAACATTTTCGAAGTTACGAGACTAATTTTATCACAGCTACACGCCATAATTAAAATAAATAATCGTCTTAGTAATGATGCCACTCTTTGGTTAATCAATACTTCTTATTAAATTCCATTAACGCTATGCACTATCTGTCGAGAGTAAGTCCAGTATAAGGGTTTCGTAGTATTGTGCAAAAGTCGGTAAAGTTGCCAACCGCCGTTCGCATATTTCGATAATAGTTATCTAACACTCGATACACAACCGTCCTCTATCATAATGTAATATCTGAAAGATGTACAGAGTGAACAAAGCATCAAATTGAAGTATGTCTAATGCTTTAAATATATAGGTTTCTATTTAACTTACGTGCAGGTTTATTAATTCAAAATACTTTTGCAAAATTTAATATTACATACGTATAGGCACAAGAAAAAAAATCAAGCGATAAATTAAATTTATTGTTTGAAATACAGTGCCGGTCAGCCACTTTTACCCCCCCCCCACGGGCAAAATCAGTCTAACTTCAAAGTTTTATATCTCTGGTAGAAATTAACGTACAGAGACGCGCGTGGGTGTGTTTGAAAGGTCTTTCGGAGAGCTTTCAAATGATATGACTCACGGTTGCCATCGATTGTTTTTTTAAATTTTGCAACAATTATGCAAAATTGAAAATTCTGAAATTTTTTTATTATTTTTGACAATTAGCCAATTTTGGAAAAAAAAATCATACGAAAATTTGAAGTACACCATTTTTTAGCTATTACCAAGCCCTATCTGAATCACTCATCAAAAATTTATTTTCGTCAAATATGACGCGCGCACGGGCATTTTTTCCTGGAAGTGACAGTTTTTTTCAACATTTTTTATCTCCGTCAAATTGTAACAATCGAAAAAAATTTATAGGAGAAAAAATGTTTGTTTTTTCACGTAGAATACTGCAATAATTTTTTTTTCGGTTTTTCGAAAAATTTTTTTTTTTCGGTTTTTTTCAATTTTTTTTTCTCACAGTCGGTACGCTAAAAAGATGAGAAACCACAAAAAAAAATTTTTTTCCACCCATTCAATAATACTACATAACAAGTATCGTAAATTACATCAAAAAAAAAGTCTTTTTTTTTTTCGACCTTGAAAAATAATTTAAACCGAAAAAAAAAATTTTTCGAAAAACCGAAAAAAAAATTATTGCAGTATTCTACGTGAAAAAACAAACATTTTTTCTCCTATAAATTTTTTTCGATTGTTACAATTTGACGGAGATAAAAAATGTTGAAAAAAACTGTCACTTCCAAAAAAAATGCCCGTGCGCGCGTCATATTTGACGAAAATAAATTTTTGATGAGTGATTCAGATAGGGCTTGGTAATAGCTAAAAAATGGTGTACTTCAAATTTTCGTACGATTTTTTTTCCAAAATTGGTTAATTGTGAAAAATAATAAAAAAATTTCAGAATTTTCAATTTTGCATAATTGTTGCAAAATTTAAAAAAACAATCGATGGCAACCGTGAGTCATATCATTTGAAAGCTTTCCGAAAGATCTTTCAAACGCACCCACGCGCGTCTCTGTACGTTAATTTCTACCAGAGATATAAAACTTTGAAGTTAGACTGATTTTGCCCGTGGGGGGGTAAAAGTGGCTGACCGGCACTGTATATTTCATTCCGCAGTTTTTGTCTATTTAATCTTGCATCCGCAACCCAACCTGGAAAATTTTCGGTGAGACATCTGCATACACAAAACTTTCCCGAGTGTGTGTGCAGGAATTCCTTGCATATGCTAGCCTCTATACGCATTGTGTTCGTGGTGTCGGACTCCAAAACAGATTCAAAGAAAAATTTATCTACACTGATTACAGCATAAAATTAGAAATATAAACTATTAAAACTAATCTACTGAAAATTAATCATAAAAAATAATATCGAACGAAATCATTAGAAAAAGAGGTTATAATACGAATTTATGGAACTGTAGACGGAGAAGTGTGAGTGACTAACTTTTGGAATAAGTAATACTGTCTCACAACGACCTATACTAAATTTTTTTAAATTGGTTTTAGTACCAAATCTAGAGGTATGTAAAGGGTAAGGGTGTTCTCAATAGAAATTATTTATTATCTATTATTGTATGGTTATGATTATTGTTTAAAAAATTAACAGTATAACAATTTCTAAAACCTTTGAGTTCGATCAATTGTTAATGAGCCGTGATATATCTAATGAAAAAGTATATTGGATCTATAAAATTAGTTACGCAAAAAGAACACATACGGTTTGATGGCAAAAGTATTTCAATATAATAAATGTTTTTAATGAATTTTCTTTTCTTTATTAGCTATGCTTGTTTATGTTTACGAGAGACATAACAAAAATAAACAATGACTGACAACCGAAACGAAAACTGATTCTATATGCCAATAATATTTGTCGTAGATAAAGAGTATATCAAATGGTCAAATAGTTTTTATTAATTTCCTATCAGTTTATTACAAAATGAAATGTAAATTGAATAAAAAATTTACAAAACATGTATCGTACCTCCTTTCGTATTGTATTTTTAATAGGTGCTGTTGGTAGTCCACCATTTTCTATCAAAAGACTTTTTGTACTTTCACCCTTAACATGAACACTACTCCATTTTTGTTTAGGTAATTCAGAAATCCTCTGTTTGTTGTTATCATAGTGGAAATTATTTTTTAAATTCAAAGACCCTTTTATTGTTGACGTATCTGGTATATCTATTTGTCCTAAAAGTTGTTCTGACATAACACGTGAAGATTTCATACAGCTCATAGTTCAAGAAATAAAGATCAATAAAGTACAATAAAAATTGCAATAGATTTATTTCTCTTCATTTAAATTGTTAAACGATTTTTCATGTGAATTTTTCAAAGTTGGTTGAGCCTTTTTTAGTCGTTTGAGTCATTTACCTGTTTATTCATCTTCTAGTTAAACTGAATATTCCAGAGGATATTTTCTTTTTATCCAAAACAGTATATAATTCTACATTCTTTATTTTAAATTAATTAGCGTTGTAATTAATTAAAATAACTCTTGAATATAAAATAGTGCCAGTGGTGATTGTTTTATGAAGCAAGATTACTTTTGTAAATAATTGATAAATTTCCATTAGTGAAGCTATTATATAAATATATAATCAAACGTGTAAATATAAATGTATAAATATATATCCAATTAAATATATTTTCGGATGTTTTTGCTATTGACATTTTTAATGATAGTTCACAATTATAATTAAAAGTGACCATTTATTCATAGCTAGTAAAAACAGAAATTGATTACAATCTGTAATACTTGTCTTTATAATAATTATAATTTCGTCTTATCTTGGTATATTAAAAAAAATGAAATTTATATGTAATGTTAGCGTTATTAAGTTTAATTATATATTTTTATTTATTAACCACTGTCTCTCATTTTAATAAATCTTAGAGACTAAAATTCTATTTAACAAAATTGATAGTAACGAAATTTATAGAAAACATTATTTGGTGCGAGCGTTTTCATTATTGAGATAGCTTATTTATAGATAAATTGCATTTCATATTTATTTTAGCATCTTGTTTTATATTTGAATTTCATATTTATGACATTAGTGTGTTTGTACAATTCCATATAATAAACTTATATTTTAAATGCTGAGTCGTTTTTTATTAAGATAGATCATCTTATATTTTCTTAAATAACAAATAATACAACTAATAATGGTACAACCATTACTAGAATACTTTTGTATAATCACTTTTTGAATATATTTTTAATTACTTAAATATATTACTATGGAGAAACTGGTAATTAAAAGAAATCACGTATTAATTTACTACCGGATTGAACCAAATATTTATCAGTAAACAATGAATATTTAACACTGACTAATGAAATTATGAAAAATATATTATAAAGTTCTGCTCTTCGTAGAATCTTTAATTAGACTAGACCAATGCGCCACGTGTATTATGGATGTGATTACTTCCTAGTATATATTATCTATATTGAGCAAGCGAATCATAATTAAATGTTGATCAGCCATGCTCTTTCTCTGTATGTTTTATGCAGAATATTTATTACATCATATCCCAAATGAAAATGAATTTAATTTATGAAAAATTATGTTGTGACGATTATAAATCCTAACATTTTTCCGCATAAATAGCACTAATCTTTTCAATACAATAGGATTTTCCGAATTTATAAATGTTTTTAACAGGAAACTTTTCACTTATAATAACGTTTAATGCATTATTCTTCAACAATACTTATAATTTACTTCTACATATGTTATTTTCAGTGTCTTGCATAGCTTGAAAAAGAAACATTATTATGCAGTATGACCTACATAAAACATAATTTGTTAAAAAATCCTGTACAAGAAACTATAGTGTTACGGTATTGAATACATTATTGAAGTTATATTCTTGTATTAATTTTATTTCAGTTTTTCAAATTCACCATATGACTAGTACTTATGAATCCATTTAATTTGTAAGTATTACGTGAAATAGAAACAGAATATTTTAATATATGGAAGAGCTATTTATTTTACAAAGAAAAATAGCTCTACAACAAAAATACTGTTTTAAATTTTATCAAATAAAATTGTCCAAAGCTTGCAGAATGCATGGTAGTTATTCTCATTATATTTCAATAATGAGTTTAGTATTCATAACACAAACAAATTTTTCTTTGTTATTCCACACATTAACTTCACTTTACGCTATATTTTATCGCGGCATAATCTTTGCATCAGTGAAATTATCGCACCAAATGTATACTTCACAATAGTTCCACAGCATTTTTATATCTCTCGCTTTCAATACATATAACAATATATTATTCTTTAAAAAATCTACAGTTTACTGTCACTGTTCTATTCTTTGCTTTTTGCGCAAGCTCGTTTGCGGTCATTCATGTATCTCTTGTTCTTTACGTCTACTCTATTCACGCATGCGTGTTACCTTTACTTGTATTTCTATTTGTTAATCTATTATCAATTCGTTAGTCTATTATTAATATTAAGTGTCTCATTTTTCTTTCTTCATTATACATTTGTACTATTTATATCTAAGAAAATTAAATTTTAGGCTTTTTCTTTTTATATCATTATTTTTGGAATATTATATGTATATTGCATTCATAAGCTTCAATTTACAGGAATTACACACACGCGTGCGTGCGTAAGTATATTCATGCATATAGTATGCGATCTGCTGATGAATTAAATCTATCCATGGAAAGAAGTTATTTGGTTAGTAGACTATATCGAAAAATTCAGTACACGGCGGCATTAGGGTTGAGACCGAATCTACAATTTCGTTAACAATGCTCTCTTAAGGCCTATAAAAAATTTTTATTTTACAAACCCTTACAACAATGTATGTGTGTATAAAAGTTTTCATTTTTCATAGTTAATTATTAAGTATTTAAAAAAGCCCAATTTATGAGTCAGCCCTTAGATAAATATTAAAGAATTACTAACCTCCACAGAAAATTTACTCATTCTTGCAATTCAAAATATAATTAGATATATAGATAATTTTCTAAAAGGCTGAATTGTCAATAATATTAAAATTTACAAGACAAGTGGTTAAAATTAATTGAACATATCGAAAAACTCTTAACTACTAATGATTAAAAAAAGATAGGCACTTCAGTTTTGGAGCATGAAGTTTAACGAAAAGTATTGCATAAAACTAGGATCTACAGTGCTGATAAAAATTTGAGAACATTCCTAATTTAGCTCTTTTTCATTTTCTATTTTTAAGCTTTATGCGATCTTGGATTTGTTATTATTCTAGTAGACATCATCACTAATTTTTCCACTAAAAGTACGTATTTAAGTTAACAAAAAACATTGACACAACATATATATCATTTATTGAAAAGCTTTTATATACATTATAGTTTGAAAAGTTATGTTTTGTGAAATAATATAAAATCATCCATTTCATTATTCTAAAGACTTTCTAAACTTCTTCTACCAATATACGACGATAAATTTTTTTCTATATTTAATTAAATTTTTCTAATTTATGACTGCAAAAAATAAATAATGGCTATATCTACAAAGGTGTTCCAAACGCACATATAAATGTTATATAATTTTGAGTTTTTTATAATTAATGATTTTTAATATTTGAGATAATTTTTTTTCAATACACTTGTTCTTCTCCAATGCAACATAGAAAAATTGAATGACAATACACTTTATTATTAGTTTATTACAATACAATATTTTTATTTATTTAGAAATGTTTGATTTTGGAAATGAAGAAACTTTCGAATGCAATGAATCCATAGGATTGTTTTAATCATTTTATAAGATTTTAGCCTGGTCGAATAAAGAATGGATGAAATATGATTCTTTTTACTAATTTATTCAAACTCAGGATGTGCCACGCTACACTAATGGTTCTTGTCAAATTATCACGATTTGTTAAGGTTTTATTTTGAATTATTCTCTCAATATGACCTTAGACATTTGAATTATAGTAAGATCCAGAGAACGAGCCAGTCGGACAAAAGAAAAATTCTATGGTCTCTAATTCATTTGAAAATTGTTTGATAAATGAAAAGGTTCGTTATTTTACTGGAACAACCAAACTTTCAGAAATATATAGTTTTACATGATATTATTAACGCAAGAGCATCGAGCTAATAAGAAAAAAACCTCAAACATAACATTGCGCATCGATTGATTGATTCGCGGTTCACCTAGAAAAAGCAAACCTGTGGCAGTAATCTGACGGAAAAAGTACGAATTTTTTACCTTTCTTTGACGCAAGCATCTTCGTAGAGCTATTATTTCATCGAAAAAGTTTAAAATGACAAGACAATATTCACTTTATAATTCCTGAAGCAATTACAAAAGAAATAAAAATTCAATCACTTTATTTTTAAACGGCTATCTAAAAAAATAATTCTCTCGTTAATGGCTTATCTGACTACTTTCGGATTTAATGTAAAACATTGATTTAAATATATGAATGACAGTATCTTAATGTTTAGTATTACGTTAAAACGAAGTTTAATTTTTCAAATTGATCACAAAATTTTAATGATGGAGGCTCGAATATAATACGTTACCAACAATAGATTATCGCCTGTTGTAGGTAAAATAAAATATTTTCGAAAAATAATACACTACGAACGTAAGATCTAAATTTAGGACACTGGCATTTAAATATATAAGTAATATATTTAAAAATTTATGGGAACTTTAAAATCCAAAAGCTTTTCAATATTTTGCATCAAATTCGAAAGTAATTGAACAAGCCATTTACTAGATAATTTTTTTCGAAAATTGCCAATTAAACATAAACTAATTGATTTGTTTTTAAATCTACCGCAGTTGCATCAGGTAAATTTGGAACTTGAAGCTGAATTTTTTACCGCTGTTATCAAGTTTTTTGAAGAATCTGTGCGATTTTGCCGGTGTCTGAAAAAGATCGAAAATCCGTGTTATTTTCCCTTCCTATGAATTAACAATCGAATTATATTTGTACTCGTATTTTGGTAGCATGAAATAAATAAATAGAATTAAAATAATTTGTGTAAAATAATAAAATGACAAAGTTCTTAATTTTGAAAGAACTTTAGCAGCCTGCTTAAGTTTTTATATGTATACTGTTTCGATGTTAATTTGCGACCCGCGAATTATGAAATCAAAGCTCTCAACAATTAAGCATCCATGAGACCAATTGAGATTACTATCGTTAAAGTAGCAACGAGTGTAACCACGATCTGGGGCTTCGGTAGCTAGATGGCGGACTTCTCGGCAGCGACCGGTTGGACTGCCGTTCCTTTCGCCGTGGAGGCTACCATCGGCCTCCCCTTCACTTCTATGCATTTCGTACCGGCACGGATCACAAGGATAAGATGGTCATTTTCATACTCCTTGTACAAATAGTCATCGCTCCGCAGAACCCAGTGCCTGGCCAGCTTGGGGCCTAGAGCAAACATATCCGTCCCTAGATTAAAGGAAAGGTCCGAGATGACACCCGCCTCCTGCACTTCGGCATCTTTCTCGACTTCGGACTACAAACTTAACGAGGCCATGGCCGGCACCCCGTCCGAAGGATCTCCTACTTTCACCGCCATTGGCCCGGGGCGTTTTGCCTCACCAGATACATTTTGTTCCACTGGTCATCAGTGAACAAAACCTGTCTACAGACGTCTATATACGATATAGCTAAATCCTACGTCCCTGGCAAATTCAGGCAGTCTCCTAACGGCTTGAGGATCTCTGCCTTTTAATTCCAATAGATGAATACAGGTCCCGACTCTTTGGCAAAACCACAAGTGGGAGCAGCTTCTACGGTTGCTGTTCCGGTTATGCCTA